AAAAATGCACATGGAATCTCCCTTTACTTAGCTCCTGAGGCCAATGAAAGCTTGGGGCTTCTCTTGAGCTGAAGATCTGAGGCTGCAAAGCAAAAGGATTGCTGAGAACAATTACAAAGCACCTGAGAAAGGAAGCTGAATACAATCTATGAAAGGAAAATGAATACTACAATCAATTACAAAAGATCCCTCACCAGGAATCCAGATTTGTTTTGGTGATAGTTTATTATAGAGGTCTCCCTGTTTGTTTGAGGGGGGGGGGGACCCCCCTTTACTAATCAGGATCCAACATTGATCCCTTCATGAATTCTCCACGTCTGGCGGATAATGACGCGCTTTTTTCCACCATTTTTGTTTGGGAGTTGAATCCTGGTCGGTGATATATCTCATCCCGTTTCACCTGTCCAACGTTGGATGCAGTTGATCACCGGTCCCTTCCGAAGAACGGGACTACGGATGTGGATGGCGTAGACCCGGATACGGGTGGGATCATGGCCCAATATAAAACAGGTGGTGAACTCTAGATCCATGGGTTGTGTTCAGGGTGCTTTCAGGGAGTGTAGGTCAGCTGCTCCTGCGGTTTACAACTCACTGGGGTGGAGTCGATACATACACCTAAAGTCCTAAAGCCTCCATGTGGCAGCGATGCTTCCGACGAATGCCGTGTCGGCTCTTCGCCTTGGGTGGCTTTGAAAGTCTGTGTGGGTTGTTTTCGCCACTCGCCACCCCACATGAACACATGAAACACAGAACTCCAGGTCAAAGGTCTCGAGGAAGTCTTCTCACCCCAACACCCAGGTGCTGAACTATACCACCGTTGCAGGAAACGCATGGATGAGATATCAGTCCCCAAGAAACCGGGTGACGCGTGTAGGCTTGAACGGTTCCAAACCCCACAGACGCGCCCAGGTCGCTGCGAGCTCTCCTTGAAGCTTTCAGTCTTAAGTCGCCAGCTCCTCATTTGGCTCTGGCAGCAGTGACAAAAAGCCGTCACAACATGTAAGAGATCAAAAGGATGCAGGCTAAGTCTGCCAGGTGTGCTTGCCCTCCAAGAAGTGCATACTTTGCCGGAATGATTCTGATGACTTCATCCACTTCATAGTAGCATATAGTTTAGAGTCCCCCCCTGCCCACTAACAGCTCCACAATGGAGCTCACTCTTGCTGAGCTGGGGGGTAGTTGAACATAGTAGCTCTCTCCGCTCTCTCTAGGATGTCTCAAAAGGCATTCCTACTCGCATCTGCGACTCCGAGCCATCCATGTGATCATGGCAAAACGACCGGCAGGACCGGCCACAAGTTCTGTTCCCCACTGAGCACCGGTCCCGCCGAACGCCCAAGTGGCTGATTCGGCTGTGGCTCTGAGCCATGTGCCACCAGCAGGTGGAGCTCATAGAGACGCCCCGGCCAAAAGTGACCGCCCTGGTGCAGCTCCACCAGCAAACGACTGGAAGAGGAGCCTCCTGGCGAGGTTGGTCAAATTCCCCCTCACGTGGGAGGGATGTTCTGCTCCCCCAGTGTGGAAGCGTCCCCAGCTTTGGCGTTGGGCGTTGCGGGGGGTTGGAGGAAGTGAAAATATCCTAGACCACCTCAGCTGAGTTCGAAAAGATTCAGTACTTCAAGTTGCTTCAAGCATCTTCGGGCTCAAAAAGAATGTGAGCACTGCTGTCTAAAGCGAGAAGAACTTGGCCGGCTGGGAATGGAAGACATCTGATAATCCACCTTGGCATGGATCAAGGTATATGAAACCCTACAAATGGTGGAGGGTTATGCAGAATGCACCAGCGTACTCGATGTGAGGTGCAAAGGTGTTTTTTTCTTGGATTTGCTTGCGTCATCGGGAAGCATGTTCCCTAGAAGGGGATTCGCCCATAGGCCCCGCCAACCCAAGTGGTGCTGTCCGAGGGCAAGTTTGAGTTTGCAGGCACTCAGCTGAATGGACTACAGCCTTCCAACGTGGTCTCGCATTCGCTGCACGGCATGTGGTCCTTCCGGAGTCTCTGCCCGGCAGGTCCTTGGCTTGCAAAGTTGGTAGCAACTTTAAGAGCGAGACCCACAATCAATGAGTTTTAGTCTATGTTCCTTCTTCCAGGGTGTCTTTTTCTCCCTGTTTGAGAACACACCCATGTGTGTGTGATTCATCCAACCTGTCAGATCTGTTCCCCCCACATGCCAAGGGAAACCTGGGCCAAGGGTGTTCATCTAATATTGGAGTGAAAACTCATTGCAACTCTTCGCCAACAAGGATAAACCCCACATGATGACCCCCACATGCCACACCAAAGGACTAAACTCCTTGACCAACTGCTCCCTAATGTGCCTGCCATGCTACCAGGAGTGAAGGCCATGATCAATACAAGCTTTCAGACATGGACACCAGAGATTTTGGTGCCTCCATCTGCTGAATCCAAATCAGCTTCCCTCACTGCTTCCCTCCTGCCATGCCCTGCCGCTTTTCAGGTCTCCAAGGCTCAAGTCCTCTGTCCGCACCCGAAAGCGACAGCGCAAGTGCGTTCCAGACCGGTCAGGGACCGCCAAGTACTCTGCAGGACAGGGCCTGGTCGGCCGCTTCGTCCAACCAGTTCAGCACTCAACTCACTTGCCAGGTGAACTCACTCGCCAGGTGATCCATATTGGTCACTCACCAGTTCCATGCTGGTCAGCTTGTGAGTTCTCCCTTTTTCACAGAGCTGATCAACATGGAACTGGAGGGCCAAAACGGGCATGGCTTGTTGGCTTCAAAGAATGCTAGGCAAAGTCTCACAGCAAGCGTGGATCGCGTATCATGATCATGATCGTCGTTATTTATATATATATATATATTTATTTATAAAATATCAGGAGGGGCAAAGTCATCACTACTATTACTACTGATGCATATTTCATCACTGATCAACTTCCTGCATTAACACGTTTCCTGGGATGAAGTGCAACTAGCTGGTGCTGCCAGGGCACAGGCTCTCGCCACAGTCCTGGTTGCGGAGGTTGTGATGATGACAGCCCTTTGGCTCCAACGACCACTCCGTTGAACCAAGCCAAGCCTACCCCAAATCGATGTTCGAGTCAGGGGAGATGAAGTCTTCCGGAGCCGGGAAGAAGCAAGTTGCTGGCCCAAAAATAAGAAGGGTGAAGCCCTCATGAATGTGACTATGGGAAGCCGTGCTCTTACACCCTCTCTTCTCCAAGACCCGTTGGCAGGACAACTTCCAATGCAGCATTTCAGGGAAAACTACATGGAATGGTAATGCAATAAGTTATACATCTGCCTTCAAGATGATCATTCTCCACCAGTGGACAGGTCTAACTTACACAGAATTCTGGTCTGGTCGCTGTTTTGAGCGATATGCTGCGATGCTCAGCTCTTGGTGTTTCAACGAGCTCTGGAGCTGCTCAGCTCCTCATCGCTTCGAAGAAAAAAAGCCAAGCCAAGTGTCGCTGGTCCAGGCGCACCAGCTGAGTTGACGCTTGAGGCAAGCCTCGCAGGGGCCTTCCGCCTCCAGCAAACTGCAGGTCCTTAGAAGGACGGACGGTCCAGACCGGGCACAACTCCAGCAGTTGGGTCGATCTACACTGGTTGCATGGAAAGCAAGAAAAGTCGAAGACAAACAGTACGTATATTGGGGATCTCAGGTTTCCAACATATGCACTTCCAAAAATGTGACAGTCCAAGCCAACCCCACAAAATGCTGCAGTCAAAACAGACCCACCGCAAGATGCTGGTGCAACGGGCACTGTGGTCACCCGTTGTTGGAAGCATCTCACCGACTAGGACTTCCTTCCCAACTGGGAGGGGCTAAGCCGCTAAGGAACTAAATCCCCAAATACCCCAAGAACACATCGAATCCCTATGGATCCACTGCCACCTTCTCCAAACACCGTACCTCAGGTTCGGTCTGTGGATCCATAGGGTGTAATGATAGCTTATGATACGTCATGCTGAGTCATGCTATATGATATTGTAGTAACTGTAGTATATTGATTTAGTCCAGCCAGGCGTCCCGTCGAGCGTGAAGTTCGGAGACTCGAGCACCTCGGGTCTGCCAAGCACACGTCCGGTCGGTCGGTCGGACCGGTGGGGTGAGCTGGTGGGTTGGGGTGGGTTGGGGTGGGTTTGTTACTTTGCACCTGGGATGCCTCGGTCTTTCGGTATCCAAAAATGGAAGGGTTAAAGGCCTTGAAACCAGGGAGTATCTACAGGAAACCAGGGCGATTCACATCTCCGAAACGACGCATGGTGAAATGACTCGTCCCTTAAAATCCTCGAAACCAATGCTGGGAAGATCGGAGAAGCCCCGCCTGGGAGGGTTGGATGTGAATGGTATAACGGTTGACCATCTGAGTGCACTTTGCAGCAAATGCGCATCACTATAGTTACCACCCCATTGCAATGAAACTGGTTTCTGGGGGTGTCAAGTATCCAAAGTGACCCCCGCAACAAAGAACACTAGAACATACTAGAACATGGAGCTCATTAGACCTGACCCCACCCCAAAAAATTACACGAAAAGGTACTGGTTGGTGCCAACCCCATACACCACAACAGCAGCGACAACACTTCGCACCCCCTGTAGGCCGTCTCGCCACCAGCCGTTCCGCCACATAGGAGACACCAAAGGCTACCAGCACCGGCGTGGCCACGTGTGCGGAGTTCGGCGCGGTTCGGCGCGTGGGGAGGAGCGGTGTCAGCTGAAGGGAGTGGAGCAGCTGAAAGCGGGGCCCCTGCAGCGGCAAGCTGGCCTCGTCACCTGAGATCGAATGGTTAAGCAGCTGGGTTTTCGAGACTCTGGGGTTTTCTCAGCTGTCTCAGCTGGTCAAGTGACCTCTGCGAGCCGACTCCAGCTGCTGCATCCATCCAGCTACCACTAGTGCTGTGGGAAAGAGGCTTTGTGGGGTTGGAGCCACCGAGTGTGCGGACCGAGTGCGCCTGTGACTCAACATGCCTCTCACTCCTTCTTGTAGTAGCTATACTATACTATGTGCAGCTCCGCCAACAAAGGTTGATGCTGCTTACGGCTTTGGCTCAACATCGCGATGCAGATTGTACCTGTCGATATACCACTCTCAGCGGAACTAGGACGTCTTTAAGAGATTTCAGGACATGTCTACTGACACTCAGGCTCCAACCACATCCTAAGAAGGTAGCTAGACCGACCCCCTAGCATCCACCCCAACACAGGCACCATCACTGGCACCATCACTCAACCTCTGCCCGACACCCCCAGCCGACTCTCCAGAATATGCCTTATAGATCCATTTAGGACATGGCCTTCCCTCAAAAGGGAGGACAAAACTGGCAAAACACATTCCAAACCACAAGCCCGTTCGTGGGAGGCCTTGACCAATCCACCTCAAAGGCTTCTTTTAAGACTGAGGCTAAGTGGTGGGACTCGTTCCATTTCCAAGCTGATCACTGGATTTCATTGGGCTGAGCTCATCAAGCTTGAAGCTCCGAGCTAAGTCGAGGTGCCCAGCTCGAAGTACCAAAGGTTGGTCATCTGCAGCACCTGAGCTCGTCCCAAAGCTCAACTCGGTCTTCGAGCTGAACATGTTGTAGTGATCAAAGAGTCGGGGTCGAACCCGCCAGCTTTGAGGGATTGGTTTGGGATTGCTTAAGGATCTTCTGCGGGAAAGATTCAACAGCCTATTGGCTGAGTTTCTTTCCAACAAATCCGGAAACATTCACGGAGACAAATTGCCGGCAATCCAAGTGGAGGTGAAACAGTGACATTATCAGCTGAATCCACTCTGATTGGTGCCATCTACTCTGCAAGTAGATGCGTGCCACAAAGAGTATCTTCACCCAGAGTCGAACTATGATGAACTATGCATATCAAACAAGGTAACACGAGTCAGCCCGATGACATGTTTCTACAATTTCTGTGGTTTTGACATGAAGCAACTTTTTTTATATTGGTGCATACATGTATAATATACATGTTACAAAATCATCCCAATACACGGTACTATACATGGTATATTTGAGAAATGAAGCACATTGCCCATAGGTTTACCCCCCAAGATGCGGCCCCCATCCATCCACTAAAACCCCAACCACCAAATTGTGGAGGACATGTTCATTTGGGATACGGTTGCAGGGAACTATTGGAAATCCTTGGAGGACAACCTCCACTAGGACCAATTGACATCCTACAAAGGCAGCCACGGCACCACCTCGAGGGGTGGGTTGTCAAAGGCCAACTGCAGCACATACCTCAGGTACTATGCATGAGTGCATCATCTGGGCACCGCATGGCACCAGCAGCAGCTGGTTTTGACATGTTTTGCACTCCCTGCTGATTTCTGAAATCATCATGGAATTGGAAGAAAAAACACCTGAGAGTGCTTTTGTTATTCCTTTCGCGGCTTCCATGTGACTTTGTGAATGCACACCACGACCAGCAACAAACTGAACTTCAATCATCCGAGATGCATCACCTCTGCCTCCATCGCGGCCATCACGTCCACCAGCGCCTCGCGCCCCGCGCCCGCGCAGCGCACCGGCGTCGCCGCAGTGGCATCAGTGGCCGGGGCCCAGGCGGCAGTGCAGGTGTCGAGTGAGATGCCCCGCGGGGCGCGAAGGAGCAGCTGCAAAGGGGGCGAAGGCCTCTCCTCAGCAAGGGTGATGATGCACATCAAGTAAGAGTGAATCCAGTGATGCGGCGATAATAGTCATACTGTGACATGCGTTAGATAAATCAATATTGTGAGTCATGATGTGTGGTGTGAATATACTAATATAGTGAGTGGCCTGGTGTTGAAGAGAAGACATTGAGAACAACGCAAAACACCACAACGTGCAGGTGCCCTGCATAGTCCATCAACAGCCGAAACGTCGATGGTGAAATCAAACCCTTGCAAGTCCTGTCATGTCCGCTGAAGTCTGCACACGCATCCGGGTCATGGGAGACATCCTGAATCCTCCAGGTTATAGAGGTTAACGTGCCTCATCAGTTGAACTAATTATGATCCGCCTGCTCCATCCAACCCTTGCCAATCTCACCCCATCGAACCCATAATTAAAGCTTTTCGAGCCTCATCCCAACATGATATGACCGCCCCTTTCCGCTATTGTTCGCTCCCTTCAACCCCCACATCCTCCATCCACCTCACAGGCTCCGCTGGCACCACTTCCACCTCGATCCGATTCCGCGCGCCCGGGCGACCGCTGTAGCTGGCGCGGAGCCCGGGCTCAGGGGGTGGGCGGAGGAGCGTGGAGAGGGGACGGCGCAAAGGGCAGCCGCTGGCGTAGGCCTAAGGGAGGTGAAGTGGAGATAGCGGGAGAAAAGGCCTGGTAGAAAAAGCAAAGGTTCTTCTCAATTGGTCGCAGGAAAAGTTAAACCTTTGAATAATAAAGGCTACTGTAAGGGCTGTATAACTCTATAATCTATAATATATGATTTGTCCTGTTTACAAGTAACTTGTTTAAGTGATTATAAGTGTATGACTGCTTTAGAAGTGTATAACGGTCTCCAATATGATTTGTCCTCTTGGACTTCTTATCAACACTCCCAAGATCATGATAGGTTCGACCCTTCGACCTAGGCAAGGCCCCTAAGGTCACCAGGGGAAGAGACCCCACATGGAACCTGAAAAACCATGTCGGACATCAGGTTCCATGTGGTCCTTTTTCGGGAGTCTATGTATACTTAGTTGAGGTTTCTGTGCTGCCATCCTTTGCCTGGCGCACAGGACTCACTGAGTGGACGTGGTGACGTGAGAATGACCACAGGTCCAACTCCCCCGACGCCACACATGTGAGCGGGACGTTCTAGAATATATGGCCAAAGGAATTGCAAAAAAGTGGCAGTCATTCTTACATATGACTTTGAGGCTCCTTTCATCTCCTTTTGAGCACGCTTCAGGCTTCCTTCCCTCCTTCCCCTTCTTGAAGCACTTCCACCCACCTTGCCTAACCCCACCCCGAACCCGCTGCTCCAAGCGGCTGGCAGCACCGTCGGCTCCGGTGCCCAAATCTGCCAGCTCCACGTTGCTGCTCCGGCCGTTCCACTCGGGTTCCGTGCCAAGAGCTCCACGGCCCAACGATGGCTCGGCTGGGAGGTGACGAAGGTGAAGCGCACACGTGGTAGACCACTAGGTCCTGACTGGCTGACTCCGTGGCTGATTGAGGAGTTGTAGTAGTCACGGAAGCGGCAAACCACCACTGTTTGTAAAGGACAATGGTCTTCCAGGGGGCCATTTTCCACTTCCATGATTAATTTTAGGGAGTGCACCGTTTGGTGCAAACAATTTTTGAGGTTCTTGAAACGTCCTCCCGATTTCACCTGTTGCGGTGACCCAGCTAGAATCGCAACCTTTAAGTAATTCCGGAATCTACAGTACAGTATCCCTAAAACAGAGGATCCTGGATCTCCCAACTGTGACAGATTTCTTGCTCTTCATCCATCAAAAAAAACAAAAGGCAGAAATGATGCGCAGCCCTTCAGAGAGGGAAGAAGCAAAGTATACAATTTCGGAATCTACCTTATCCCTCAAAACATATAGTGATCCAAATAAATATAAACGGTTTCCAATACATCTTTAGTGAGGATCTACGAACTTCTATCCATTCGGGGGTCTATTCAACACAGTCTAATCTTCTGCCTTGAAGGAATTCTCAGAGATGAACTTTATCATGGCAATGCTTCTTTCGCTCGTTCAAACATATTCACCGTGGGTTGAGTCAATGGCCGGTGGGTTTCACGTGGTTTCACCGGGCGGTTTTTCCGGGTTGAGTCACCTCATGCGCGGCGAAATCATTGAAACCTCACCCCAACATCAAGGCAGTTTGGACTGGACATGTGCCAAAGCCCCTCTAAAGATCTTCAGACTGCGAATGAGAGGCTGACGGAAGGCTTTCTTGCAGCATATGCACCTTTTTGTTGTTGATGCTATATGCCAATGCTGCTTGTGGCTACCTTCAGCTGCCCAATTCTCACAGCAGCCAAGCAGCCCTCAGATGCCTGGCACTCTGTGTCCTCTGGGAAGGGCTGCTCGCTATCATACAGGTCCAAGGGTGCTCGCCAAAGGCAGCTGGATTGGAAGCCTCATGGCTGGGACAACTTGGAGCGAAGCACAAAGTAGTTCATAGCCCAACGCTTCATGTATGGAGTATTTATATACATTTTTACATTGGGGTGGTTTCAGGGGTGAATGTAGGTAACTATGCGAGTCCCATGGATTGTCTCCAAATGCCTTTCGCTTGGTTGAGCTTCACTCTTTTGCGTTCAAATGATGACAGCTGGACCGAGCATGGCTTCTTGCTCATGTCCTAACATCATGGAAGTGCAAAATGATCCCCTGGAAGATGCTTTCTTTACAAAGTGGAGGTTATCCACTTCCATGTGATGAGTTCGTCTGAGTGTCTTCTTTTCAATGCTTGGACTCTCACATGGGACCGATGCGCCACTTACGCTGACACTTGAATTTGCTTATATACAGTACGGCTCAGTATATCAGGGGAACTGAAAAAAAACTATCTATGAACTAAAAGAACTTCTCATCCATTTATATATGAAGAATCAAACCAACACCTAAGAAAAACCACCGTCTCGGTGCCCCGCCGTGCCACGACCACCACAGGTCCAGTCCCAGGCGCCGAAGCCGCGGGCGGCCTCATCGCCCAGCAACTCCAGCTGAGCGCCGGCGGAGAGCGAGGGCAACCGCGCACTGAAACCTGGGGTGCGTTTTGGGACCGACGTCCGAGCCAGGAGGTCCTTGGAAAATAGACAGAATTTTATATCTGCCAGGACCTTCCAAGGTTGAACCCTAACAGCTTGTGTCTGGGCACCTCTTGTCACCAGGAAACACCTCTTGAAGGGTCCAGCGTATATATAATATATACTGCATATATTTAAATAGCATGAAGGTGAAGCGAACTTTCCACCTGTCCGTTTTGAGTGGGGTTTTCCCCCAATCGTCATCCACTGATTGGGTAGGGTGGCACTCAAATGTTGGCGCCGAGAAGTATGTTGCTGTGGGAAGAAGCCCTCTGGAAGAGGACAAGGATGGACAAGGGCATGCAGCTTCAGGATATTTTGTATGCCAGCTGGTGCAGGAGTGAGTTCAAATCCATCATCAGTTCATGCGCCTTTACCAGGATCACTTACCCACCGATGTGTGAAAGCTCATTTGCCAAGCCGATCCCAACAATAGACACAACTGCCAAAGACTGAATAACTTCTCCCCCACCCTTCAGCCCATTGCAGTGCTGTCCATGTTCTGCCTAGGCACGTAGGTAGTTCCCCTCGTAGCCCACCACAGGGCAGGAACAGGTCACTGAGGTTTCAGCAATTGCTTGGATGGCAAAAGGCCCACCTGCGCAGCGTCTGAAGCTCAAAAGGGCATCTCAGCGCATCCTCATTCCGAATTAGAAATACCAAAATTTCAGAGGTTCGATGGCACAAACCCCTACATGCCCTTAGATGGGGGTCCATATGGGCCCATACTTGGGCCCATATAAATCACCAAACTTGGGGGTTGTGCCATCTACTCTGAAACCACTCAAAAAAGTATTGGGATATCCAAGCACCACACCAAACACCTTGCATCTTTGGAGTTAGTTTCTCGTATGCCGACTTCCTCCAGCAGGGGTTACTAGATCATTCTATATGATAGGAACTACAACTAGTCTGGCAACTTTTCGTGCCATTTGCCTGGCACATTTGGAGGACCCAAGTTGCTACTCCAAAAGAGCAACACGATCAAAGAGCTGTCACAACTGCTGGTCCTTTGGACTAGAAGTACGAGGTTCCTGGTGAAATCTTACGGATTGAGCACATCGAGAGTAGATGGCACAATCCCCAACAGGTGCTTTAATGTGGTTTGAACCCCATCGAACAGTCACCTTGGGGTTGGTGCCATCTATATATTTACTCTGAAACCACTGTATCTCTGTAGGCTAACATAGACAGCGCGGGCAACCCGGCCGGCCGGCCAAGTACTAGTAGTAGTAGTAGTAGTGGTGGTAGTAGTAGTAGTAGTCGTAGTCGTAGTCGTAGTAGTAGTAGTAGTAGGTGGTAGTAGTAGTAGTAGTGGTAGTAGTGGTAGTAGTAGTAGTAGTAGTGGTAGTAGTAGTAGTAGTAGTGGCCGACGGTCGTTGATCAGCCGGCCGGCCGGCCGGCTGGGCTGTGGATCTTGGCCGGCTGGCTGGACCGTGGATCTTGGCCGGCCGGCGGGACTGTGGATCTTGGCCGGCCGGCCGGCCGGCCAGCTGGACCGTGATTCTTGGCCGGCCGGCCGGCCGGCTGGCTGATCGAGAAATAGCGGGCCGCGATAAGCTCGCAATGTAATATAGTCTATACTAGACTCTATATATCATACGTCCGCCCTCCCTGCTGCCCTCCGCGAGCTCTCCCTCCGCGACCTGGCGGCGCGTCGTTCCGCGCCACCGCCGCCGCCGCCCAGTGCTGGTCGAAGCCCAGCTCGATGAAGAAGGCGTTGGCACCCAGCAAGGGCAAACGTTCCTGGGCGCTCACGGTGTGGCGTTGTGCAGGATGAGTGCGTGCAGTCACGGTGCGGCCAAAGGTTTGATGGTGCCTAATCTGTTAGATGGTGTTAGGTGTTTGTTAGTAGTATTGCCACTGGAGGTGGGTCTGTTCCGGGCAGTTGCAAACAGTTCTCCGGCGTATGACTACTATAGCCACTGAAACAGTCAGTGGGGCAATATGTCAAGGTGCAGTTCGACAAACAGAAATGGCTATGTCAACTGAAAGACTGCCTAATTACAGTATGTATAGGAACTATGGAAAAAGGTGCCCTTCAACATGCGCTTGATTTATTTAAACAGAAGCATCATGTGGCCATTGCTGTGCATAGACTTATACGAACACTCTAGTCACTAGTCAACAATACTGAAAGAACAAACATCTGCACCACCTGTAGCTCCCCCAACACCAAATGTTGTGGTCACGAGTTCCTCCACCAGGTGCAGGAATTGCTCCACCAGGAACTTGGAGTTTCTCCAGTTTCTCCCGGCAAGTCGGTCATGCTGCCCTCGCTGTTGCTGAGTCACTGGCACTTGGATCTCCAAGTCCAAGCTGAAGGTCACCCCAGCTTCTACTGTGATAACTGCCCAGCGAATGTCGTTGTCCACCGCCTTACCTCAGTGAGGACTAATGAATCGCCGTTTCGCGGGATTATGATGCTAGGCTAGGGTATATAATGGTCTGGGTATAGCAAGACCATGAAGGGATTCATAAAGCGCAAACATTCTCAGTTGTCTGCGTTGTTGCGGGTTTTGATGACTTCCATACGTCTCCATCTTGCCTGAAGTGGTTGTGAGACCTCCAGTGCCCAGTGTTGAGGGAGTATCACATCTTACCCCCTAAGTTCTGAAGATTGGCTTTCAAACAGCCCTAATAGGCATGATTCATGATCTAAATATGTTTCACCCTGATGTCGTGGGGGTTGTACATCAAACGTGTCCCAAACCGCTTCCTGGGTGACGCATTGGACCCAAAGCTCGGTGGTTTCATGGCGCGGACGCGTCTGCCTTTTGGGCGGCGGGGAAGCGCTTTGCGAAGTAAGTTTCAGTATAGGCCATGGCGTGTGGAAGCAAACGTATCTCATTTCTCGCTGAAAGCACCCTGAGGCGCTTGGCCAGGCGATTGTAACTGTAAGAGAGAGTGCGAGGATAACTGCCAATGAGGGTTGCAGCTTCTGATCCGGACATCACTCTCTTTAGCAATGCGTGTTTTGGTTTCAAGTTTTGTTCCATTCTGTAGCCGAGGATTGGAGGGAATGCGGACACTGCATCCACAACTTGAACTTTGCTTAGGCCCAAGTCCAAAAGCCATCGCCGGACCGGCTGCAAGTTCTTCTTGATACCGGCACCCAAGGTCCAGGTGTAGGTAGCCACAACCTTTGCAAGCTGATACTTGCTGAGCCCTGTGTCCAAGAGCCACTGAACTGTCGGCTTAAGATCTTGCTCAATGCTGTAGCCCAGAATTGGAGGAAAAGTTGCTATTGCCTTCGCGACTTGAGCCTTGCTGAGCCCAGTGTCCAAGAGCCACTGAACTGTCGGCTTAAGATTTTGCTCAATGCTGTAGCCCAGAATTGGAGGAAAAGTTGCTATTGCCTTCGCAACTTGAGCCTTGCTGAGCCCTGTGTCCAAGAGCCACTGAACTGTCGGCTTAAGATTTTGCTCAATGCTGTAGCCCAGAATTGGAGGAGAAGTTGCTATTGCCTTCGCGACTTGAGCCTTGCTGAGCCCTGTGTCCAAGAGCCACTGAACTGTCGGCTTAAGATTTTG